GGCTGGCGGGTGGCATAGCATCCTGGGCGGCCGCAGGCTGCCAGCGCAGTGCCCGAGGACGGCACTTGGCCAAGCAGCCTGCGGCTGGCACTTTTGCTTTCGTAGGCTCGGGATCAAACCCGGCCCTCATATGCCCTAGACGATCTCTGCCTCGGAGCCACCCTCCAGCTCAGCCCGCGGTGCCCCTCGCTGCGAGAGGGGGGACTCAGCTGCCCCCAAGCTGATGAGCTCGTGGCACCCTCAGGGCCTGTCTTGTTCTCCTTCCCCGATGCTTGGTTCTGTGCCTCCCGTGGGCACTAGCCCTGCTGCTCCAGGGGGACGGCCGGGCAGCAGCGGTGCAGCCACGAGAGCCACAGCCACGTGCTGAGGGACGCGCATCCTCCCTGCAAGCCAGGGCTGCCTTGCCCCCCCCCCCATGCAGGCATCTGTCCTCCCAGGAGGGCTTCTGAGCATCAGTGAAAGTGGCCCCTGTCATCGTGCCGGCTTTCATCCCTTCACAGTAACCAAATTTAGGTGCTCCCAGGAGCATGTGACCTTTGCCTGGTGCTGAGGGCTGGCATGAGCGTGCTGTCCCCCACAGGGACCACGTGCCGAGAGCCCACAGTCTGGAATGTCACTGAAGGGTGCAGCCTCGGGAAACAGTAGTCAGCTGGTGGCCTTGTTTCCCCCACACTGGCCTACATGCCCCAGCCTAGACTTAGAGCTGGACACTCGGCCCATCAGAGGGCTCGGGGTGCGGCTGCTCCCCACGGGTGGAACTGCAGCCAGGAGCATCTCGCAGGGCTGTGCCCTTGGAGGGGCCCGCGGTGCCCTGGCAGCCCAGCACTACCTGAGAGCTGCACCCACCCCTCAGCCGTAGCAAGCCCTGCCCCACTCCTCTCCTCCACAGCATTGCTGCAGTAAGGCTGGATGACGGCTTCACCTTCGTGGTCTATGAGTTCTGGGAGACGGAGGAGGAGTGGAAGAGGTGGGTGGGCCCCAGCCTCAGCACAGGAGCCCGCCTGAGAGGAGGGCGTGGGAGGGCGCTCCCGGCACAGCAGCACATGGGCTGCCCTCTGCCCTCCACCCCGCTGGATCCATGGGGCTGACAGAGCGGGTCCCAGCAACGTGTGAAAACCGCTGTGCTTTAAGGCCCTCTGCCCCTCCAGCTCACTGCCCTGCAGTGCTTGTGTCCGCTTCCAGGAAGCCCTGGGGGGTTCCCGTAGCCCTGGCAGCCTCCTATGCCCGATTCTGCTGTTGAGGGTGGAGGCGGTGCCTTCCGGAGCACCTCACAGGGCCCAGGACACAGTGACTTAGATAGGACCTGCCGTTCAGTCCTGGGGCCTCACTGCCAGTCAAGTTCCCAAGCACAGTGGGCACGGGGCAGGTGGCCTGTGTGACTCTAGCCTTCCCCGGCTGGAGCCAGGACTCAATAGTGGCAGTCCTGAGGTGCTGGGTTGCCATGCGCCATCTGGCTATAGCAGCAGGAGTCACAGATGGGCCCACTCAGGGACCATTAGAGGAGAAGGGAGTGACTGCAGGGGTGTCTGGCAGGACCTGCGCACCCTCCAGGACTCTTGGGGCAGGCATCTCAGTGCTTAGCCGTGCGTTAGTCCTTCGTAAACAGAGGTCATGGAGAGCCCCCGACCCTGGAGCCAGTCCCATTCGGGCTGTGATGCTCCCGAGGCCTTAGATGCCGTGGTCCTGAATGCGTTCCTGGTCTCTTTCGTCTCCTGACTGCCCACACCGGTTGCAGGCACCTGCGGAGCCCTGTGTGCAGGGCTTTCCGGCACGTCAAAGTGGACACGCTGAGCCAGCCGGAGGCCCTGTCCCGGATCTCTGTGCCAGGTAAGAGGGCAGGCCCAGTGAAGGGCTGAGGCCTTGCTGTCTGAGAAGGGCAGACCCCAGGGCTGCTCTAGAGACGACCCTGACCTGTAGGCACTGTGTCCCTCCCCCAGCCATGGTCCAGATGCGAGCTCCTGCCACCAAGGCTGTGCATGCAGATGGGATACAAGCAGGGCACCTGCCTGCTTGGACAGCCACAGAGCAGGTCTCAAGGACAGGGCCCCAGGGGCGTGCACCCAGCGCAGAGCGAGGACATCTGCGAGACCCCCAAGCAGCCCCGATGTCCCTCCATGGGCCCCTACCTGCCTTCA